GAGGCTCTGAGCCTTGGGGGCCATCTCCAGGCAAGTTGGAGGCTGCATCCAGCCTCCAGGCCTGAGATTCCCCATCCCTGCAATAAACCTTGCAGAAAAGAGATAAATCAGAGAAATTTGTAGTAGTGCTCTGTTTTGGCACAGCTAAATCAATGCTTAAGGTTTGAAATTTCGAAGAAAATGTTATTGGAAACAAATTGACGGCTCTGAGCCTTGGGGGCCATCTCCAGGCAAGTTGGAGGCTGCATCCAGCCTCCAGGCCTGAGATTCCCCATCCCTGCAATAAACCTTGCAGAAAAGAGATAAATCAGAGAAATTTGTAGTAGTGCTCTGTTTTGGCACAGCTAAATCAATGCTTAAGGTTTGAAATTTCGAAGAAAATGTTATTGGAAACAAATTGACAATAGTCCTTTTTTGTTAAAACAGCAAATGACAAGATTTATAAGATGAAGAAAATATACTTGATAGAATTCCCATTTAAAAATGTACTAAAAATTAAATGGAAAAATTTTAACAATCCTTTTTTTATGAAATCCAGAGATTAACTTCATAAAAATAACACTGTATTTCTGAAAAACAATCATTTAAATAAAGCATGTACATTTTCCTTTTATTTTCCAACTAACTCCCTCTCAAGTTTATTGAGTTAAGGAGCTGAACAAATGCTGGGTAAATCTGCTAGTTCATAAATCTTTTAATGTTAATGTTAATATGATAAAACATTTATAAAATTCTTACCTAGAATCAGTGAAATCAAATACTGACAAAACTGGTTTCAGATATTCTTCCATGGCTTTTAAAATTTCAGAGAAATTTTTCTCATTTTCACTTATGTTTTCTGTTAAATTCTGTATACAAATTAAAAAATCATTAGAATCCTCACAAAGTTGAATGAAACAAAGATGGGAAGTACAATATGTTACTTAGTGCTAAATTGAATCATGGTAGTTTGAAACATCATACAATTAAAACAATTCCTTAAATCAGTGAATTATGTTTCAAAATTGCTCTCTCTGAATGCTTTATTAATGTCAGCATTCTTTTCTAATGCAAGAATCAGTGCAATAATGCCTGGGGATATAAAATGGGATATTTTAGGCACAAATACTTTATAATGAATAATGAGTGAATTTACTGAAAAGGAGATAGCTGGAAGAAGGTGGAGGAGGAAGAAGAGTGAAGAGAGAAATAAAGCGATGGCACAAATCAAGGAAGGAAAAGTAAGAAAGGGGAAAAATGTGAATACTAGATGGAAATGGTAGAGAAAAGTTATGGTCCCAGACGGAGAGAGATTGACGAAGAACCAAAACAAATTGAACAAAACAGATGGTGGTGAGAATAGACAAGCAAAGATGAAAGGAAGTGAAGAAAGAAATGGATAGAGAGAAGGCAGAAAGTAGATTAGAAAGAAAATAAATGGAAATAAATGAATAGTATAGAAAGGAAAAAATTAAAAACACATACAATTTTTAATTTTACACCAAAAGGTCCATTTTTATAGGCATTTCACCCCAGTCTCCTTTTGTGTGAGTATAAGCATATTTGTGTGCAAACACGTAAAGTGCAATTGTGAAGTACTAAATATACAGCTGATAAACGCTATCCTATCCATATGCAGCAGATGGGTTCTGTGAAGTAAATTCTATCATTTGCAGGCACATGACAGCATTTATTAACTTAACAGGCAAGTGTTAGCCTTTCAAGTGTCATGGTAAGTATCTGAATACATACAGTTAACATGCTCACATAGAGGCCATTGTTTTAAAATTCTGATCTTGTTTATTCTAACCTATATCATTACTCCATTTCTATTCCGTATTGGTCAAAAGGAAAAGAGTGGTGAAGGAACTAAAATAACTCACATAGCTCACCATGACAACTAAAGCTGATGATGGCTACAAACAAAACCATCAGTATTTTGCCACCTAACTTTAATCAGCATTTTTGCTGACAGGATCTGATATGGACAAGATAAAGTTCTCCTTTTAATTTTAAAATTCCTTCCTGATAACTGGCAGTATTCAAAGATTTGTTTTAAAGCAACAATAAGCATTAAATTGTTTTAAGAGCAAGGGTTTCCTTCCTTCTCATGCTTGTTATTCATCACCTAGTTACATGTCTATCATCACTTAGTCTATGTCTAGACTGCAAGCGTCTTTCGAAAGAGGCTTTATCGAAAGATACTTTCGAAAAAGCCTCTTTTGAAAAAGAGCATCTAGACTACAACCAGTACTTTTGAAAAAGCAAGCTGCTTTTTTGAAAGAGAGCACCCAAGCAGTCTGGATGCTCTCTTTCGAAAAAGCCCTGTTTGCATTCATAAACGCCTTTTTTAAAAGAGCACTTTCGAAAAAAGAGGTTCTTCCTCGTAAAATGAGGTTTACCACGGTCAAAAAAACTGCTGTGTTCTTTCTATTCAATTTTGAAAGAACTCGATGGCAGTCTAGATGCAGGGGAAGTTTTTTCAAAAAAAGCCATTTTTTTCAAAAAACCCTGTACTCTAGACATACCCTTAGTAATTAGAGGCCTGCTTTTTATGAGTAGTGACTGTAGCAATCTGCATAAAACTTGGAGAAGTGCTGGTTGCAAGAAAGAAATTCGGGAAGAGACACCATGAAGTCGGTCTGAGTATAAATGACTAGAATGCTAGCTGCAACCGCATCAAATCTGTAAATAGGTGTTTTAAAATAAACCACCATTTCAACTTTACAAGCATGGAGCCTTCTTATGTTATTAGGTAGCACATGGGACACGAAACACTGACAACTCAAAGAATTACTTAACTACCCTTTTTAAAACAACAAAATAAAAATAAAGAAAATACTGTAGTTGTTTTTCAGTGCTTTTGTTAGACTTTAAATTAAGGTTGGCATTTTAACAACATGTATTTTATGCTTGTGAAAAAATTAATTACTGTGTGTAAATACATATCTAATCTAATGAAGCCAGAATTTTAGATTTAACATAAATTTCCCATGATCTTGCAAACTAAATATAGTGAATGCATACGAAGGACCCAATCCTGTAATTACTTATGCAAGAACATTAACTTTATGCACTGTGAGCAGTCCCACTTGTAAAATTAAGCAGTAAAATTAAGCACTACATAAATCTTTATAGGAGGATGGTTCAATAGAGACCTAATGGATTTTCAGGAATGTCTAAGAGACATAAAACCAATAGAGAGGTTGGTGTGTAACTCCTATAGTTTCTTTCTAAAAAATCTTTCTTCTTTTTAATATATAAGTTTAAATTAAGAGCTCTTAATATATTTGGGAAGAAATTATTATTCTTATTTTACATCAACATTCCATCAGTCTAAATTGTTAAAGTTCAAAGCTGTTGAAGAAAAATCTGCATAATAATGACAGCATTACAAACTTCTATTTAGAGCAAAGAAAATTGGTAAGTTTCAAAGTAGAGCATACACAGGAGACACAAAGCTTATAAAAAGCTGCATTTGTAATAAATGTTAGGAATTCTAGATGAGAGCTATTTTGTACAGCTTTCTGTTATGTCTTCTGTATATATTTTAATGTCTATTTTAAACATTAATAACTTGAAACAAATATATTACCATATCAATTTTGGAAGTAGTTTCTGGCCATTGTTGAAAGTCAAACTTCTCTCCATGACATTTATTTTGTAATTCCTGTCTGAGGATAGTATTCATCATTTCCTGTTTGTAAAGACGTACTTTTTCCAACAAAATCAAGATTGTATCAGGATTCACAGGAAAACGAGAAAGTTTAGCTCGCACTAATACAAGAAAAAAGTAATTGAGAACATAAGTTCCATATAGCCACATATTTTTATAATCCACTTTGCATATTCCTGTTATATAAGGAGATAAAATATAGTATTAAATAATAGCACAGCTATTTAAGTATTATTAAAATCAAGGAAGAACAGTAATATAAGTCTATTTGAACTTGGAGACAGTGAACATAAGAACATAAGAATGGCCATATTGGGTCAGACCATCTAGCCCAGTATCGTGTCTGCTGACAGTGGCCAATACCAGATGCCCCAGAGGGAGGGAACACAACAGGGAATCATTACGTGATCCCTCTTCTGTCATCCATTTCCAGAGAAACAGAGGCTAGGGACACTAGTGATGGTGTCCTAACCTCCATGAATCTATCTAGCTCTTTTCTGAACCCGGTTAAAGTCCTAGTCTTCATCACGTCCTCTGGCAAGGAGTTCCACAGGTTGACTGTGCGCTGAGTGAAGAAAATCTTCCTTTTGTTTGTTTTAAACCTGCTGCCTATTAATTTCATTTGGTGACCCCTAGTTCTTATATTGTGAGAATAAGTAAATAACTTTTCCTTCTTCACTTCTTCCACACCAGTCATGATTTTATGGACCTCCATCATATCCCCCTTTAGTCTCCTCTTTTTTAAGCTGAAAAGTCCAAGTCTTTTTAATCTTTCTTCATATGGGACGTGTTCCAAACCCCTCATCATTTCTGTTGCCTTTTTCTGAACCTTTTCCAATGCCAATATATCTTTTTTGAGATAAGGTGACCACATCTGTACCCAGTATACAAGATGTGGGTGTACCATGGTTTTATATAGACACAATAAGATATTCTTTGTCTTAGTCTCTAACCCTTTTTTAATGATTCCTAACATTCTATTTGCTTCAGAGGGGTAGCTGAGTTAGTTTGTAACTGGAAAAACGTACACAACAAATAATCTAGTAGCACCTTAAACACTAACAAAACACAAACAAGCTTTCGTGGGTACAATCCACTTCTTCAGATGTTTGGTGTATTAAAAGTCCAGTTCCAAAATAAATAGGTGGTGGGGAGGAGGGGAAGGAAGGGAAAAATAGTGAAATAGCGTGTTCACCTTACAAGAAGCTGATAGAGAAGGTGCAAATTGTTCTTAAGTACCCATTGTTTGGCTTTAACCTGCCCAAGCACTCATTAATGGATCTCAAAGTCACCTTATTGTTTCAGGCCAATTCCACAAGCCAAATCACAGGGAAGGGTTGGAACTTAACTTCATTTACAAGTTTGGGACCTATCACAAAGTTATGAATAAGGACATTACCTGGCTAGCATGCTTCCTTCCACATCTTAATGACTTAACCAATCAAACAATGGGTACTTAAGAACAATTTGAACATTCTCTAACAGCTTCATGTAACATGAACATTCCAATTCACTATTTCCCCCCCTTCCTTCTTCCTCCTCCACCCCATTCCCTATTTATTTTGAAACTGGACTTTTAATACTCCATTCATCTGAAGAGTGGGTTGCACCCACGAAAGCTCATGATACCATCTACATGTTTTGTTAGTCTTTAAGGCTAGACTATTAGTTGTTTTAAAGTTTATTCTATTTCCCTTTTTGACTGCCTCTGTACACTGAGTAGATGTTTTCAGAAAACTATCCACAATGACTCCAAGATCTCTCTCTTGAGAAGTTGTAGCTAAATTAGTCCCCATCATATTGTATGTATAGTTGGGATTATTTTTTCCAATGTGCATTACTTTACATCAATCAACATTACATTTCATTTGCCATTTTGTTGCCCAATCACTTAGTTTGGTGAGATCTTTTTGAAGCTCTTCACAGTCTGAGCAACAGAAGGAGTATCAAGTATCTAAGCACATTCCCTGGTACTTTAAGAAAAATTATTTCCTCCCATGCTATTAAAAATGCATTTCCAATTTTTTCTTATGACATATTATACTTTAAAACACAAAAATCATGCCTGGCCTATAAAGAAGGCATAACAACAAAAAGTGTGCAATAATGATTTTTCTGATTATGATCATTTTTGTCCCTTAAAAAGAGCACAATTAGCTTAATGAAATTTGGACTAGTGATAACCATAGAAACAACATATCTGTCATGCATACAACAGCCACTGGACTTAATGGAATTTATGTGCATAAATTACCAGGTATCAAGATAAGACTATACCTCTTAGCACACACTGTCTTAAAATTATATCAGTTGCTTGACCACATGAGTTTGGTTTTCTTGTACTGAATGCAACAGTAAGACCTAACATCACCTTATTTTTAAACGGAGACACTCACATGTCGGTTGAACTGGTTTTCCTTTCTGTTGTCCGCTACTGAGTTTTTGCTTAACAATCATTGCACTATACAACATTGATCTATGGAAAGCAATAAAGATAGAATAAAATATTTGATTATTCACATATTCAGACCTTCCAGCCTTTCAAAAATAATAATTTCCCTCTAATATTACATGTTCACAGATGCCCAGATATGTATTAAGCACTTCTGAACACAGACAAGTGCCCAAATCTTACAGACGAAGTCCAAAGCTGGCAAAACAGAGACTGCCAAACACGCAGATTCACTCCAGATTGCTTTTGAGGTATGTAATCCCCAAGCATAAAGAAGCTAACAGACATTGGAAAAAAAATGGGATTGAACTGAACCGTGGAGTATCTTGTGAATTGTTCTCTCAAGGGGTATATCTACATTGTGGCACTAGCTTGAAATAAGCTACACAATTTGATCTACACAAATTGCGTAGCTTATTTCGAGATAGTATATTTTGAAATGTGGGGCTCTCTACACGGTGCCAAATTTTGAAATAGACTGCTATTCCGACAACTACCTTAAAACTCTTCGAACGAGGTTTACTGGGACATCGGAATAGCACATCCGTTACTTCAGTTGCATTTCGAAATAACAGGCATGCTGTAAAGACAGAAAATGCTATTTTGGGATATCAGACGTAACCCAAAATAGTTCCGCAATCTAGATGTACCCAAGTAGACTACAGGAGTGGCTGGCTACTATTGCTTCTCCCTTTATATTTGCAAAGATCCACATACAAGTGGCTGACCAACACCTAGCACCTAGCTCATATGATTTTGTCAGAATAGGTAAACTGATCAAAGGACAATGAGCAACACTTACTCAAAATTGTTAAAGATGTAGAGTCAGATCAATGAGCACTGCTTATCCATCCTTAAACTGGAGGTCATTTAAATTGTTGCACTAATTTGCTTGACTCGCTCCACTTTCTCAGGGTATGTTTACATAACATCTGGCAGGATGCTTCCCAGAGTGGCTAGACAGATGCTCTAGCTCAACTTGAGGTAGCATGCTAAAAATAGCACTGTGGCAACTGACAATAACTTGAACTAGCTGACTGGATATGTACCCAGAGGGGTGGAGGAGATTTTACTGGGCTGGCTAATCGAATCCATCATGGACACATTTTTGTTTATAATGTGATAATTCAACTCCATCTATCGGAATTGGAAAGCATTCTCCCAGATGCTGTATACACACATCCTTAGGGATCTGGGGATGGAGAGGGGGAAAAAATCTCCATTAGGGAGCAGAAGAAAGGTAAAAACAATCTGCTGAGCTGTAAGCAAAACCATCCAAGTGTATCTATAGAAGCTTGGGGAAAAGGTTCTTTTGTTGCTAAACCTGTTAAAAGACTTTTGCTAATCAACACATCTGGTCCTTCAATCAGAGAGTCTTATTCTTCCAACCATCTCTAGAGGGATGCAGAGTGAAACATGGAGGCTGCCAAATGGAATTTTGTGGACCACTCGAAAGATTTTGGCTCTCTTCTGTCCACCATGAGGAACAGAAAGATAGAGAATTGTGGAAAATTGACTTCAGGTTCATGTTTGAGTTTTGGTCAGTTATTTTTTCACTTACTCTAAGTGATAAAACCAAAATAATGATAAGTAAAACGTAAAAAGCAGCTGAAATAACTTGGAAAAGGAAAATAAAATTAAAAAAAAACTAATAAAATTTTATACCTGTCACTTGAATGTTGGAGAATGATTATACGGAAGATTGATGGCAATTCATTTATGATGTTAAAATGTTGAGCAAGAACACAGAGATTTCCCCATGCCTGTAATATAATTTAAAATTGACATTACTTTTCATATCTTTTTATGAACAACACTTTCAGTGCATTCATCAAGTGACTGATCTATAATACTGTAATTCAAAAACCCAAGGCACTACTGTTTGCAAAATGCACTTAGAGAAAAGAATATTTTAGCTCAGCACACAATAAATGAAGTTAAAGCAATACTTTCTGGTTAACATTAATATGACTTACTTGCCTACTATACTGCATATCAACCTAAAAACTATCAAATGTTGAAACCAATTTTTATTATGAGTAGCAAAGAAAGCGAACTACTTCAATTCAACATTTTTATTTTCTAAAAGCAATTCAAGCATTTCCATAGGAATATATACCTGGACAATTTGTATTCTTCTGTAAAAAGAACTGTATAGGTTATGATACATACATACAAATATTATACATAATAATATATTATTTGGTAGAAAGAATAACATCTTCCAGGGCAAACATTATGCCTACTAAACAAAAGAGAAGACCACAGCTCTAATCTTGTAAACACATATTATTAACATTTACTTATGTCAAAGGAAGTATTCACATGCCTAGAAAAGAACATGTATGAAAGTGTTTATAGGACCAGGGTCAAAGAAATTAAAAGAAGGAATCATAATTTTGCTTCAGAACAACTGTGTTCTACTCCATAGTACTCTTGAAAAAGTTACCTTTGAGGTAGCAGTTAGCCTCTGCTCCACATTTTTGAGAAGATTACTGGTTATGTCTCCCTTTTGTTTTAAATGATGCTGAAGATGCAACAGTGCTGCCAGCTGAGAGCTGCTAGTATCAGAAGTGGCTGCTAGCAGAATATCCTTCATCATCATAGACGATGAACAGCTCTGTAATATTTTAATATTACAGTAGTTTGTTTTCCCAAAAGTTACACACAGATAGTTATTGAAAAAGCTTGGTATATGAAAGTGAAATGACATGGCAAATACATTAACATTATTTACAATTACAATACATTGTAAAAGCTTTGGTGATAAATTATGAGGACTGGAAGATTCTTAGCTATTTATTTCCTTTCTGAAATTGATCTCTCCATCAGTTCTGATTGTTAGAATGTTCCTCTCTGCATTAAGTTGGGGATAGTTCTAATGAGTTTAAGGGAGCCTGAGCCTCCAGAACAATCTCAATTCACTTGGATTGTGTCAGAAGAGTACTTCCAAAGGGGTGCATAAATTTATTTCAGAAATTCAGTATCTAGTAACTATAAAAAGAAAGTAACTAGAAGAAGACAATTATAAGCCACCTTTCAGAAGCCCAAAAATTAGTTACTGGAAAATGGTCAAAAATGCATAGGGTATCACATATTGATGTAGATATCAATCTAACAAACCAAATGTACAGGCAAAAATTTCCGATCTGCTTTAACACGATGAATGCAGGAACTCAGGGCATCACTTGCACAATTCCAGAAATCCAGACATTTTTACGTTAGAACAGGGGTGTGCAATAATTTTTGCAGGGGTCCACTTCACAATTTTGGGAAGTGATAGCAGGCTGCCCCCAAAGGGATGGGGTCTTGAGTGGAAGGGGCAGGGCCTTGGGCAGAAGGGGGCTGTTCCCTCTAGGTCCGGCCCGCCCCTGGTGAGGGGAGGAGACTTCATATGCTCCTCCCCCCCCAGGCCCTAATTGACCTGGAGGCTGGGGAGCATGCAAAGTCTTTGCCTCCCTCTCCTGCCTTGCCAGGGGTGTGCAACACCTAGAGAGAACTGCCAGCTGGTGCACTCCCCCCGCCTCCAGGACATCAGGGCCTGGGAGCGGGGGAGACCTCAAAGTCTCTTGCCCCCGGCCCTACCCTGCCAGGGGTTCAGAGTGCCTAGAGGGAACTGCCAGCCATTTTGAAAAACTGGTGGTTACTTCTGGTGCTGCGTGCCCCTGGTTGGGGGAGGAGACTTTAGGCACTCTCCAAGCCCCCCAGGTCTCGATTGGTCTGGGGTGGGGGAATGTTAAGGTGGCTCTTGGCTGGATCAAACGGCTTGGTGGGACAGATCTGGCCTGTGGTCTCTATCTTGCCCTCCTCTGCTTTAGAGGGTAGAATTGCTCTTTTAATTGCAGCACCGCTTTCTTTCATTTTGTTTTATCATGGTATTTTATACACTGTAAAATGATAAAATAATGGCATCTTCTAGTGAAAACTTGAAGTCCATACCAGGAAAATGATCAAGGTTTTACAATAGTCATATGTCAATAATACAGTGATCACTAAAAGCAGCAAATGTATATTTAATTATTATTATTAATACCACTACCTAGCTCTTACATAGTGGGTTAGTGTCACTTGTCAAATTTACTTATGCTACTCAAAGCTCTTTTTTAATATTGTACTGGGACATAAGAAGCAGTGGTGTTACCTGATGAAGGGCCAAAAACTGGCTACTTGAAACCTGATCAAATCGTCCAATGCATTCAATAATTTCAAGGCTAGCAGCAGCCAGGCAATCGATTATGTTGTTACTGAATGCAACATTCATGCACTGAAGCAAAACTTCATTGGATTGAGAGAAGTATCTTTGGGCCAAAATCTGTTTTCTCTAAATAATAAAAATAAAAATATACTACATTAAAATATTTGTTAAATTACATAAATACATTATTGATGCATTTTTGATCAATACAATCTTGGCAGAAATGCTTGGTTTTATTTATTTTAGGGATGTAAAGTCCTGTTTACCTGGTTAACCAGTTAAACTTCAAGTGTGTGTGTGTCTCTCTTTGTGTGTGTACATATCTATCTATCTAGCTGGACATACACACACAGACTGAACCTCTCTAGTCCAGCATCCTCGGTACCTGACTGATAACAAACCAGAAAATTTGCTGAACCACCAGAGGTCTATATTTTCTAGTAACATTACCAATACTTCCATTGCTTACTAGGTTCTTACAAGACATTTAGGGATAAATTAGTGCTAAATAATAATGCAGAACACTGAGCGTCAGGGCTGTTGGCTGTAAACAAACTTTATGGGAACAAAGGAAAGTTGGTTGAACTCACGATAAGGAGACATCTGGCTAACTAAAATCATGCTGAATCACGGATGTTGCCAGATCAGACAGTGCTGGACTAGAGAGGTACAACCTGTATAGCTGGTTCTCGCTTATCATTTATGAATGAGAATAACTTCCTACTCTGACTGGCCTGTGTAATTTTTAAGTTATTTGCCAGCAACAACACCAGCTCAGCTTCTTGATCCAGTCACCTTAGGGGTATGTCTAGACTACATGGCTCTGTAACAAAAGGAAGTTACTAACCCTGTGCAGTAATAACTGTTCTTAGAGGTTTGTGTCCTCGTGGGTACTCCACTATTGGTGATGGGTGGTCCCCGGAGCCACAGTTTGGAGCTTTTCTTAGCAGCTGACAGTTGGGCTGTGCACACGCAGGAGGTGCTTTGTGCCACTGACAGTATGTTGCCTTGTGCAGCAGCCCGACCTCCCTTCAGTTCCTTATCTAAGCCTGAGTTAATAAAAAAAATTCCGAGGGGAGAAAGGGAGGGTTGTGGAGCACCCATGGGGACACATACCTGGAAGAACAGTCGTTACTGCACAGGATGAGTAACTTCCTTTTCTTCTTTGGGTGATGTCCCAGTAGTGCTCCACTGTTGGTGACTACAGAGCAGTATCCCATGAGGATGGTGAGACTGGGAGTTACTGCTTAGTGGCAGAAGATAGTACCACTGTAGACACTACTGTATCAGCCATTATTTGAGGCATGATAGTGTAATGCCGGGCAAAGGAACGGTTGGATGACCATGTGGCCACTCGGTATGTGTCCTTCAGGGGAACACTGTTCAAGAAGGCAGTTGATGTAGCAGTGGCACGAGTGGAATGTGCTCTAGATGGTGCTGGTAGATGTTTATTCCGAAGAGAGTAACAATGGAGTATACAGGCTACTATCAACTTGGAAAAGCGCTGCGTTGAAATCGGAGTGCCCTTGGAGTGGTTTGCCAGGGACAAGAAAAGACGTGGAGATTTATGGAACTGTTGTGTTCTGTTGATGTAGAAAGCTACAGCCCACCGAATGTCTAAGTCAGGGGTGGCCAACCCGCGGCTCGCGAGCTGCATGTGGCTCTTCACCGCAGAAAGTGCGGCTTGCGGTGCATACCCCGCGGCTCGTGAAGCTGCCCTTGCACCCCTACAAAGGGCTCCCAGCCCCTGGTGCTCAGATGGTAGCCTGATGTGGCCAAAAAGCTAAACCAGAGTTTTCTTTTTTTTTTTTGCTTGACCAAACACGGTGGTTGGGGCTTTTTTTTTTTTGCTCAACTCTTTGTGTTATGTCCACCACTATTTTGGCCCTTTGCCTGTAATGGGTTGGCCACCCTAGTCTAAGTTGTAAAGGATAGCATCTCTGTGGGATGCATGAGGCTTTGGGTAGAATTTAGGAAGGACTATGGGCTCATTGATATGGAAGGAGGTGCTGACCTTGGGCACAAATGATGGGTGTGGCCTTAGAGTAACTTTGTCCTTAGCAAATATAGTATATGGTGGGCCTGCCATAAGGGCCCCTATTTCACTAACCCTCATTGCAGAGGTGATGGCCACTAAGAACAGCACCTTCCTAGTCAGGAGTGGAAGTGGACAGGTGGCCATAGGTTCAAAGGGGGGCCTTATGAGGCAGTCTAGGACTAGACTGAGCTCCTAGGAAGGTGCTTGGGTTCTGTGAGGGGGATAGAGTTTGTGGAGTCCTTTGAGAAATCTCCTCGTGATTGGGTGGGTAAACACGGATGCCCTGTAAATATGGTCATGAAATGCTGTGATTGTTTCTAAGTGTACCTTGATAGATGAAATGGAAAGGCCTTTGTTTTTCAGACAGTGTAGATAATCTAGGATCAGATGGAGAGGGGCCACACAGGGATCGACTTGTATCTATTGGCATCAGGATGTGAACCGTTTCCATTTCTACAGGTAAGTCTTTTGTGTGGATGGCCTCCTACTATAAAGGAGAACAGTTCTTGCTTGTTCTGAACATGGGAATTTGTCACTCTGAAACCATAGAGAAGCCAGGTGTGAACGTGTAGTATTTTGCCCCCATTTTGAGACAGAAGGTCACGTTGAGATGGCAGTGGGAGAGGTGACTCAACTTGCATGCGCTGAAGGTATGGGAACCAAGTCTGTCTAGAGCATGACAGGGGCTGTTAAGATGACTTGAGCCATGTCAGATCGAATTTTGCACAGGATCTTGGGGATCAGTGGAACTGGGGAAAACGTGTAGTGCAGAGGTTTGTTCCAGATGATTAGGAACACATCACCCATGGATTTCTCGCCCAATCCTGCCCGAGAACAAAATCGGTGACACATTTGGAATTATCCCTGGTTGCAAAAAGAACTATTACAGGGTAGCCACACCAACCGAAGATAGATTGTGTAACCTTGGGTGTAGTTCCCACTTGTGGTCTATGGTAAAACTGCAACTCAAAGTATCTGCCATGACATTGTTGACTCCTGTTAGGTAAGATGCTTTGAGGACAATGCCACGCTGGATACACTAGTTCCATAGGCGAATGGCCTCCGCACAAAGGGATCGAGAGCATGTGCCACCCTGCCTGTTTATGTAGAACATGGTCATTGTGTTGTCTGTTAGGATCTGTATAGTGCGGTTTGTAATGGTGGGAGCCAAGTGTCTGCATGCGTTCCTGACCGCTCGAAGTTTGAGAAGGTTGATGTGTAACATAGCTTTGTGAAGTGACCACCTTCCCTTCACTGTGTGTTGTTGCATGTGTGCTCCCATCCTATTAGTGAGGCATCTGTGGTAATTTGTACCGATGGCTCAGGCTGCAGGAAGGGAACTCCTGCGAAGAGGTTGTGGTATGAAGTCCACCACTTGAGAGAGTCTAGTACCCATGCCAGGATGGTGACTCTCTTCCCGAGAGAATGTTGGGAAGGCCTGTTGATGGAAGTGAGCCAGTGCTGCATAGTGATGGACAACATACATAGTAGCTGCCATGTGGCCCAGCAACTGGAGTCAGGTATCCACAGTAGATGACGGATTCATGGCTAGTGTAGTCACTAAATCACAGAGTACATTGAATAGTTGGTTTGGTAAGTATGCCCGTGCTGATATAGAACTGAGGTGAGCTCCAATGAATTTGATGTCTTGAGTTGGTTCACATGTTGACTTCTGTTCGTTTATGATGAGTACGAGGTAGTCAAACAGGTGTCTGGTTTTGGAGACCATCTCGTATGTCTCTGCTTGTGATCGACTCCTGATGAGGCAATCATTGAGATATGGAAAGATGATGACCCCCTGTTGCCGAAAATAGGCTGCCGCAACCACGAGTACCTTCAAGAGAATGTGGGGGGCCGAAGAAAGTCCAAAGGGGAGAACTGTATACTAACAACGGTCATCCCCAATCATGAACTGGAGGTAATGTCTATGTGAGGGACGTACCGTGACGTGGAAGTATGTGTCTTGTAGGTCAAGGGCTGCGAACCAGTCCCCTTTGTCCAGTGCTGGAATTATTGAAGCTACTGTGCCCATCTTGAAAAGCTGTTTGCGCAGGAATTTGTTTAGTTTGAGAAGATCCAAAATCGTCCTCCAAACCCATGTAGCCTTTTGGGTGAGAAGTAGGTCGAATAGAACCCTCTTCCTTTGTAGGGTTTGGGTACCCTCTCTACTGCGCCTATCCGGAGTAGGCAGTCGATTTCTTGCCTGAGAAGAGTCTTGTGAGAGGGGTCCCTGAAGAGGAATGGGGGAAGGAGAGTTGTGAGGGGAACCGAGCAAAGTACGGAGACTGTAGGGGCTGAGTGGCTTCTGCCTGCCTTGATAAGAAGTGTGCCACCTATGAGGGGGCAATGGTTGGCGACTGACCCCCTGCAATGGAGAGCACTGCCTTGGAGAGGACCAAGGCCGTCCTATTCAGGGCTTATCCGAAGATCTGGGGCCTGCAGCGTTGGGAGCATCAACATATCTTGAGCCATCTACAAGGCCTCTGGTGTAGATGGCACCTGGAGTTGGTGAGAATCTACAGCCCTGTTTGGGGTACCAGCAGAGTAGGCCGGGCAACTCCACTTGGCTTGAGCTGAGGCCCAGGAGCTTGGTTGGGGTGGAAAGTTATCTGGGGTAAGGTCTTTATTTTCCTCAGACTTGTCTTTCCCGTTACAGGACAACGGAGATCCTCCTTTCCCCATTTTCTTAGGCTTCTTCGTTGGAGCCACTGAAGGGTACCAATGCTGACTTATGTATAGTATCAGGGAAGTGCTATGCACTGAGGTTAGGGTGTTTGGCATTGAGTTGGAGCACTGCTCTGTCATTCGTGTGAGGGCAAACTCCGTAAGGAGCACTTTTAAGCAAATTTCTTGCTCTTATTTTGTCCTGGGGCTTAAGGACCTGCAAGACTTGCACTTTTCACTGATGTGATCTTCACCCAAGTACAGTAAATAACTAATGTGTGGATCACTAATGGGCAAGGTCTCTTACAATGATCACATGGCTTGAAGCCTGCCCTGTCTCAAGGCAAAGTTTCAAATGGAACTTAACAAGTCTCTATACTAACTGGGATAATTACAACTAAAGGAAAATTATGCCCAAAAGAATGTATGAAGAGTCCAACTGTAGTAGTATTGTTACTGATGGCAAGAAAAAACAGAGGGTAGGGAGAGCCAGTTTTGACTCTTATACAATGCCATGAGGCACCACTCCAGAGGGTGCCAGCACCAGTCCCCTAAGAAAGTGACAAGGAGTCCTGTGGCACCTTATAGACTAATAGATTTATTGGAGCATAAGCTTTCGTGGGCAAAAACCCACTTCGTCAGATGCATGTAGTGGAAATTCCAGGGGCAGGTATAAATATACAGGAATAAGAAAAGAGTACCAATCAAGAGTAAGGCTGGAGATAATGAGGTCAATTCAGTCAGGGAGGATGAGGCCCACTTCTAGCAGCTAATGTGGAGGTGTGAACTCCAAGAGAGGAGAAACTGCTTTTGTATTTGGCTAGCCATTCACAGTCTTTGTTTAATCCTAAATTGATGGTGTCAAATTTGCAGATGAACTGTAGCTTATCAGTTTCTCTTTTGAGCAGACCCAGAGTACTTATGAGGGAAACACTTCAGGCTCCAGTGCATGTGGCAAGCACATACATCTAAGTTGAATGGACATGAGCAATCACTCAAAGAAGAACTTCAGAATGTTTAAGAACAAGAATGTACCAAAAATGTGCCAAAGTAAAGAATATGGGATTGTACATACATAAACAAGCTAACCATTTTTTAGTCTCATTTCTCCCTTGTCCTCAAAAGGCTTTCTTCTCCTAGAATTCAAAGTTTTTACAAGATCAGGCACATTTATATTTAACTTTTTTATTTATTGTACGTTGTGTAAATTCCAGACTGTTCCAACTCATTTTTTAATACAAATTAAACCAAATGACAGCTATTTAGAGAAGAAGAGGCTAAGTAACCTGCAGCAACCAAGGAGAAGGGGAAAGCAGGTAAGAGGAAAATGTGAAGAGAGAGAAGGGGAGATGAGAAAGAAAAGGCCAATAGGTGTTGTAATTTGTATTGAAACATTATTCCTTTGGCAGCTTGTCAACCTTACTTTCTATATGCATCTATATATTTGTTATTTAAGTTAAAGCTTCAGTATTAAAATACTAATTGTCTGTAAGAGTGAATTATGTTACATTTGCTAAAAATACCTTACCCTTGAGGCTAATCAGCTCCTGGCATAGCAATCACTTCATAAAAAGGAAGCTCTCAAGTTATTTATCTAAATATCAACATAAAATACCTTTAATTCATTTGCTTTCTTCCTATGCTCATCATGTTGTTTTTTATTAATTGGAGAACTTCTACTTGTCATTTCACATTCATTGTATTCTGCTTTGGTTGTGGGAGGCTTCATGGTTTTCAATATAATTTCCTCCTACACAACAATAACAGAGAGGATTCATTAATATATCTATCCCACTAAAATGTAAGTGGATTAATTATTGTTCTGAATGTTAGGAAGAGTAAAATTCAGCTGGACAAAAGTCAGCTAATTTCAACTTTAAAAATGGAGAGAGGTTATATCTCACCACAATAATGCCTTTATAATAATAAATGAACTAGCACATTTTTTTCTGTTCTCAAGCATTCAAAAATCCTGAGTTAGGATCCCAGGTATCACAAGACTGTCTTAAATGTCACAAGATAAAAAATATATATATTTGCCTTTTAGGTTTTGAGAACTAGGGTATACATTTTCAAGTTTCTTTCTACAACTATGAGAGCTAAAACCTTACTTTTATATTTTTAAATGAAAACTGAGATTCTTGCATATTCCCTTGACTCCAGGAGCTGGGGCTTTAAGGAAGGTACCAAATATCATAAAAGATATGATAAAAATTACAAGGTAGGAATTACTGTGCTACATAGTAATGTAGTGGGCAACTAATGGTGAAAGAGTTTAAGAAAGCCTTCTCCTTCAGTCCCTGACACCAATATTTTGACAATCTGGTAAATGTTCTGCCCAATTCAGTTCTCATTAACATTTTTATTCAGGATTAGATGAGGCTCAACTCTTTTCTACCAGTGGTCGAAACACTAAAAAGATGTAAACTTGAATTTATAAAATAACATTAATTGCATTTTATATATGTTCATTCAGAATCACATTCTGCCTGGCCCATACAGACATGCATAGAAGTCTCCTTCTCAGTGCACACTGTATTTAAAAGGTAAACAAAAGTTTATACTCCTGAAGAATTTGCATATCCTCTTTTGACTGTTCCCTGTAGTCGAGATGAGCCCCTAGTGTGTGGTAGAGAGGGTTCACAAGGTCAGTTAGTGCATGGCATGCTACCGTGTTACAGATTTACGTCTCAGCCTGTCCTGCACTAACCACTTGTTTAGACAACCCATCAGGAACATACCACAAAGGAAGTGAGGAAGCCGGTCTAAGCAGAGGTGGCCAGTGACATGGGGCTATGGAACACAGGAAAGGTGTGCATCTGGGAGCTCTAGGGAAGGCAAAGCACCTTTTACTATAGGCTTTGAGCAATTTGCACTATCTATCCTTCCATTAAAAACATTAACGTAAAGACCAACATTGTAGTAAACATTTACTATCAATATATATTTAATCATATTAATTTAGAACCAAATTCATACCGTAACATTTTCATTCCAGTAAATATCTGAATTTAAGGGGTCTACTTTAACTGCAAGTAAACGCAGAGCTTTTCCAGTGAGATACAGGAACTTGGATTTGACATCAGGACATCCTACATAAAGACTCTGTAGACTTGCTAACTGAGCCAACGCAATGTGACCCACAGTACGTGCTATGTTTATCCATTCCTGGTAAAATAAAAAATATGTTAAATCAGGTCACATTTTCATACATAAAATAAATGTTCTCTAAGAGGTTATGAGCAAATCAATAATTCATAGATTTATATTGGCCTTTAGTTTGAAATATTTGGTTTTGGGGTTGCATGTGAAGCCTAATAACTAATTCTTCAACCTAATTTAACTTCCTTTTCTCTGAAAAAATAGATAGTTGGAGCTCTATTCTACCCTTTTTTGATCCTTGAAACAATAACAGAAAATGAAATAAATCTGTGTTATTGCGAATGTTGAAATACTACACATGAACCTTTTTAATCTTGCAACCTTGTGAAATAGGCTATGCTGGATTATGGAATTTTCCAGACCATGGATGTTCACCATAATGAAAGGCACTAGGGAGTAGGGATCTGGGAGGGAAGGAGGTTATAGGAACGCACATGGGGTGAGGGTGGGCCTCCAGGCCAGCGCTTTACTGCACTGCTGTTCCCCCAACTAGGGAGAGATGGAAAATGGCAGCACTTAAGGAAGAACTACAAATCTGCAATCATCGTATGGATGGTGAAAAGAGTGTATTTTAATGGGGAAAATGTTGTTCAGTGATGATACAGCTCAATTTCACTCAACATTTGCTCCTCACAATCATCCTGAAGCATTTGCCTTGGAGAGACAAAACCCTTTTGGCACAAAGAATGGCCAAGGTCAGAACAACCTAGTGAAAGTCCATACTTCAATGATGTGTGCCCCAGTATTCAAATTAACAGTATTTCTCCTGTCTAGTAGTTATTAATCACAAGAAAATGATTCCTCTAGGCTAACACAAGGATTTTTAAAAAATTTTAAATACAACATTTATAGCCGAAACATAGGAAGGATCATATGTAATTACCTGTTCCACAGAAGCACTATCAGGTGTTAACCTGACAAAGTCTTCAACAATTTGATTAAGTGATCCTTTTCTCAGTTCTTTCTTTTTTTTTTCAGCATTCACAAGATCAAGAATCTCCAAATTAATTTCCACTAAACTTAGCTTCATATTAGCAAGACGTCTCATTAATGGAATACTAGTATTTCGAATCTGAAATATAAGAAAATTGAGAGGAAGTCTATCTTTACATCACTTTGATCAATCAGTCCATCAGCACTCACAGAGAGAGCATCCGTCCTAATACAGCAGTTGCAAAGCCTGGACAATCAGGGCATTCAGGACAATCAGGTCATTCAGGGCTGCATCACTGAACAAGTAGGGGGAATGAGTCCTTCAGACACATGCTAGCCAGGCTGTCAGTGGCTCTGGATATCTAATCAGTGTAGCGCATTGTAGTCCAGAACCCCTGAACAATCTGCAAACTTCAGCCTCCCAACCACTGCAATTATAAGTGCATGTCACTATACCCAATCTACCTTTAAATTTGCAATATTAATATTTTTATTAATTTACTGGATTAAAGTTAGAATTTTAGAACTTTATAAACAACAATGTGATTGCTACTCAGATATTTTATGAAAACAATAAAGCAAGTAATGAGTGTATAACAGACAAGTAAAGCAGACAGGTGGCAAGTGGACAGGTGACAGACAATATACATACTTTATTTTAATACACAAAAATATACAGGCTATCCTGGAATTCAACACTCATGCCAAAATCATTTGCCTCACAGTAGAAGTAGGCCTTCAGGCAAGATCAGAGAACAGTGGAATTTCAGATCTGCTCATAAAAGTTTTCCCACATGTAAGAAGTCACAAGGGAAAAACCGTGATGAAACCTGAAGGAGAACTGGACAATCACTGTATCTAGGGAACTGACTGAGACACATGCATATTTTTTCAACTCAGATTTTTGTTTTATTCATGTGTCCCGCTCTATTCTGTATAAATATTTACACGATACTTATCAATTACAGAAGCTGAGCACATTTTACAAGTGCATTAAGAAATAGGACTACATATTTGTCACGTGTTTTGGAGTGAAGTATTAACACATACACACTGTGAGCACGTCTAAACTACATCCCTCTTTCGAAAGAGGGAGGTAAATTAGATATATCGAAATTGCAAATGAAGCCGGGATTTGAATTTTCCGTGCTTCATTTGCATAATCGTGTCACGGCTTTTTTGAAAAAAACTATTTTGAAAGTGAAACCTCAGTCTAGATGTGGTTCTTTAAAAAAGAAAAGCCTTTTTCAACAGATCCTATACTCCTCAAAAAATGAAGTTTAAGATCTTTAGAAAAATGATCTTTAGAAAAAGGCTTTTCTTTTCGAAAGAACCATTTCTAGATTGCAGTTTTCAAAAGAGGGATGTAGTCTAGACATAGCCTATCTCACTCACTCTCAGTTGCTTTGTATTCATTAGAGAAGATAAGGTCAATGGACCTTGCACTTGGAGTAGAAAGTGCTGAGGTTTGTAATGCTTTCTAGTTCATATCCGTGTCTTACTAAGGGGTTTATCCCACTGCGCATTCATAGTATTAGGATGTGACTCACTTTTGATTAGTTAGATAACTGTACAATGGTTATGGGCTATCGGAGAAGGTAGAGCTGGGGGAGGCAAGCCTCTGGCCTAACCCCTAGACATGACCCTTTTGCTGAGGCCCTGTCTGCATGGGAACCAAGCCCTCCCCATTCCACCACCATGGGGAGGTTGGGCAACACGCTGCGCGTGCCCCACCACCACTCCAGAGACTGCATGCCCCAGTCTCTCCGGCCTCAGGAAGGGCAGCATGCATCCTGAGCCTCCTCAGCCCCAAAGCACAGGGAGTGGGGAGGTTGTGCAACCCCAGCCGCCCAAATCCCGGAGTACAGGGAGGGGAAGCGGTGAGGATCTCCAGCTTCCCTGGCCTTGGAGCATGGAGAGGGCAGGTGGCATGAATGCCTACAGTAGGTGCCTACAGAATGCCTACAGTAGGTGCCTAGGATACCAGATGCCCATGACAATGGTCTTTCCTTATCCTGTATATTTCTGATTCAGCTAGACATCATCTCTATATCGTGACAGACTACAGAAGGATATATTTCTCACCTCATAACTTATTGTATGCTAGGGATATATTTCCTAATACCCAACACAATGAGGTATTCCCTATCTTGCTATTTCACAGCTAGATGATCTAGACAATTCAAGCAGAGTAAGCTTCCACAGCAGGGAAGCACATTTCTTCTTGGCACTGTCTTTAGCCAGGCAAGTGCTTTAACCAAGTAACTGCTAGCTGTGGTGTCTGTCATAGTTCATCATTTAGGCAGACTACAGGTTGAACCTCTCTAGTCTGGAACTGTCTGGTCTGGCAACATCTGTGATCCAGCATGATTTTAGTTAGCAGGATGCCCACTTACCATGGGTATGGCTAAGTTTGCCATGGTCCCATAAAGTCTGTGTACAGTCATCAGTCCTGGCTTCTTGGTATTCTGTGCTGTTATTTAGCTCTATTTAAATGTCTGATAAGAACCCAGTAAAAAGTGGATGTGTTGGTAATGCTGCTAGATATTACTGACCACCTGTGGTTTGGCAAATTCTCTAGTTTGGCACTGATCAAGTCCCAAGGATGCTGGACTAGAGAGGTTCAACCTGTAGTAAGCAGCAGAAATGTGTCTATGGGCTAAAAACAACTTGGACAAGTGAAAATAACCATTCTTCAAAAATATGGCATCTGTTCCATTTTTAGAAGTGCCAGCAAAAAAGTGCACAACTGATTTTAGGAATATGCCAGACTTCTCAGCTAAATATTTACTCTGAGCGAAAGATCAATTCTGCTCTCAGTTATACATGTGCAATGCTATACTCTGTATAAACAAACTATGTGGCACAAAGAAGTGTCAATGTGCCTCACAGCTAGAGTGCCATGCAATAACTTGCTGTGAACTCTTCATTAGAGTTGCGCAGAAGTAAACTTAGTATTTTGTGTCTCATTTCACAATGAAAAGGAAGTGACAAACTGAAGATTTGGTATTTAATAGGAAAACTTGGTTTCGTGTATTCTTCTGGTAAAAGGCTTTTAAATATCAATCAAAATCAGGCATACTATTTGGATAGGGTAAATATTATAATCCTTTTGAACTACCTGAATTCATTTTTACCTAACAAATTAGAAAGGGTGTGTGTATGTGGGGAGGAGATTATCTATAGTGGAGGAAGCTGAAGGAAGTTTGGTTTGGGCTTTTTGCCCCTGCCAACTTCATATTATAGCAGCCTGGAGTCTACTGTAACTTTTGGCAGCTATACGTAGTTCCCAGAGATCTGCTAGCTAGGATCCCTGGCTTGCACTGGGGCCTGCAGGGAGGGAGGTGCAGGAGCTACCTATGACTGCTTTATGGCCATTACATTGTGTTTCTAACTGGTAGTTATGACCAGCCCCTACTCACATTGTGAGTACTCAGGTGGCACAAAGGAAGCAGAGTGGGCTGAAGAATCTGGCCCATGATATTTAGAGTATTTGAAATAAATGGAAAATTCAGTTTCATATATAAAATGTTTTCTGCCTTATATAAAGTATAAAATAAAGTATTTTAATTTTGTGACAAATTTATCCTGTGCTTCTTCAAAATTTTCAATGCAACTTTTTTATTTTCATTATCTAACATCATTTACTGAACTCTGGTGAACTGATTTACAGTCTGATCAAAAAATGTCTGTACAAATTCCTTATAGTTTTCTTTGTCCAAGTTATGATTTTTCATTGTAATGTCACATTTTTTCTTTTGAAAGGTGTGACTGAAACCATGGTTAATCTTTTAGAATTCCTATTAGTTGACATTCCTAATTTGCCTTTGCTTCTTCACATTTACTATATTTTATTATGCAGGGTTTCAAATTTCTGATTGATTTATAATCAAGGTTTGTGAGAATTATGTCAAATTTAGATAGTTCTGTTTCTCATTTATTTCTTTAGTATCTGAAAAAATACTGGAATTAAATGCGGAAAAAATAAGTAGGAAATTAGCTTTCTTCTAAAGAAATAATATATTTGCAATGCTAATATTTAATTTCTTAATTTTTACAAAGAATTCTTATTGATGTAAAATATTTACAACAGGATTCCCAGGAAACAGGACTGGCAGTGGTCCTTAGTGAACAGGGAAGTGGAATGGGAGTTGGGAGAGCTAGATTCAATTCTCAGCTTTGCCTGGAATCATATCTGTTGTATGATCTTGGACAAGTCATCTCATCTCTCTGTCTCCTTTTCCCTTTCTTTCTCTTTTATGTCTTGGTTATTTAGAATCTAAACTCCTTTGGGTAGAGATTGTCTCTGACATTGACCCTAACCGCCACAATGGAGCACCATCTCAGTTGGGGAATATAGGAACTGCTTTAATACAATTAATAATACAAGTTGCACCTCTCAAATCTGGGATTCTCTCGTCTATCTGTAGCCTGGTATAACAACGGATGTTCCTGGATGAGAGAGCTCTGGGACAGGAGGGCCAGTAGCTGGGAGCCCAGTGCAACCCTGCCAGTCTACTAGCAGCTGGGCTGCAACCGGCTGGGAGGAGAGTGACTGGGGCTGTCTGCTGCTCAGCAGTGTGGCCCGGACCACAGCAGCCCAAAAGGGGAAGTCTGGCTGGGCTGTGTCAGCCTGGGAGGCTGCGGGGTTACAGCAGCCTGGGCAGCAGCAGCAACAGAATGATTGGGGCTGCCTGCCATCCAGCATTGGGGCCGGGGCTGTGGCCGCGGCATCCCAGGAGGGGAAGCCAGACACGGCAGCCCAGCAGAATCAGTGCCGCTCGGGCCACATGTTTCATGGAAGTGGGGCTGGGGCTACGGCAACCTGATGGGACAACCTGCCATTTGGCAGTGGGCCTGGAGCTGCCTGGCTGGCCAGCAACAGAGCTGAGTCTGGGGGCCATGCTGAAGGAGCTGACAGTGGGGAGGGTCAGCAGGCTGAAGGGCTGGTATCAGGGGACCGCTCCTTGTCCAGCAAATTCCCTCATCCAGGACTGGTCAAGTCCTGAGGGTGCTGGACAAGAGAGGTCCAACCTGTAATCCTAATTGAACAGATTTTGCATACAATAAAAGTATCCCATTTACCTCGTGACCTGGAAGCAAGCTCCAGATATTGTTAAACACTTCTTCTCCTTCATATACCGCTCTCTGAGCTAACTTGAATGCATCTAGATAGTTACTATGCTTTTCTTCTTCATCTTCCATATGTGTTGCAATTGTTCTATAAAAAGCAACATGGAGTTATACAACAGTATTAGTAGAAAAGATTATTTTTTGTAAAATGCTATACATATTCAAAATGCTCAATGAACAACTAACTTTCATTGTTTGTGTATGTGAGACTCAGATACAAAATGTAAATATTTAAACATTTATTTTTTAAAGGCTTGTTTCTTGGACCTGTCCAGCAACATAAAGGGGACATAAAGCTGCCCTAAATGGACAGCTGGAGAGCCTTCTGCCAGAAGGTATACCCCAGTGGCATAAGGCTGACATAGCTGGCTTTATGCTACCCGTTTTTCCACTCTCTGAATATGGGGTGTCCTGGTGAAAGCTAGAAGTTGGAGCACACTGTGCTCTGGAATCTCTGGCCATAACAAAAGTCACTTGGGAACTGTTCACGAGACATAAAATAATAGAATCCCGTGGCTACTTTAACTTATGATAAGGGCTGGATCTGCAATCAAATTGACCCTAGAACAGAAAGGGAGATAGAAGGCGGCTTAGAATCCTTGTTTCTTTATTCTGACCTCAAAGGTAATGCAGATAATCATAAATCATGTGAGAATAGCTATTACATGCATAGGAACAATAATTCCTGATTTTACAGATAACTTGTTGATATATTCCATCAAGGATGATTATGTGAATCCAAAATCGATATGAACATAAGTAGTATTATGAACTCTCGTGTAAATTTCTCCAGACAACTGAACTCTAATTCTAAATCAGACACCTGATTAATTTTTTAACTATGGTATAATAAACATTTCCAGCAAATTTGTAAGTTTACCTGTGAATATTTGCACGTTCGAGCAGGATTTCAGCACTGTGATCTTTATAGCCATAGAGAAGGAAGTTCTCCTCAATTTGAATTAATTCGTCATATGATTCCTGTAGCATACTTGATAACTGAGAGGACACAGTACTAACCTTCATGAAATCTTGGACATATTTTATTTGAATAAGCGTTTTCCTATGGAGAATAATAGAGTGCACACTATAGCATGCGGTAAAAACTCTGAGAAACTGCCCAAGTACTAATTTTTGTCCAAAAACTGCTGTATTTTTTTTTCTTTCTATTTCCTTTTCCATTGTAATGTTTGTGATGGATCTGGAGGATGAACCTTTCTATAAACTTACTATACTCTAACAATTAGATATGGTTTTAAATAGAATACACAAAGCCTTGTTTTTCAGAAATAATATTTCAACACCATCTGAGTAATGCCATGGTGCCAGTTATTAGATGCATATTTATTTCAGACCTTTACCCAAGTTTAAGTATCCATTTAAAAGGGAGCTAAACTGAGAAGTCCATAATCAGCTAAACTAAAAACTAATGTACTGATACTGTAATCATAAGAAAAATGAGACAACTACACACAAATAGTAAAATGAAAACACACAGCCCTTAGTCTGATGTATGTATGTATAGTTCTAGTTAGGAACTATATAAAAATAATGCATTGTTGAGAAGAGGTGGGAATGCAAATTTTGTTAGAACCATGTTAGTGTTATAAACAAAGCAGTAATATGCCCAATCATATGCAGCCATAATTAACACATGTGAACAGGGGGAAAAAAAGTTTATCTGGGTTAGTAGAACAGCAGATCTCTCTGTGTAAGCCAAGTTTTTCAGTGTAAGCAGTGAGGCTATATTACCGTATTTTCGGGCGTATAAGGCGACTGGGCGTATAAGACGACCCCCTAATTTTCTAGTTAAAAGATACGGCGAGTATAAGACGAAAACCTATAAGACTACCCCCCCTTAAGAGGCCAACCGGCAGTGCCCCAGCGCCCCTCCGCCTCCCCGGCTTTGCTCCCGGTGTCCCTGGTCTGCTGGAGACGGTCCCCAGCAGACCAGGGGCACCGGGAGCAAAACCGAAGCGGCGGCGGGGTGCCGCGCTTCTG